AAATATACTAAAATCTTTTTTTAAAAGATTTTATTTATTTATTTGTCAGAGAGAGAGAGCAAGCACAAGCACGGGAACCACAGGCAGAGGGAGAAGCAGGCTCCCCACCGAGCAAGGAGCCTGACGTGGGACTTGATCCCAGGACCCTGGGATCATGACCTGAGCCTAAGGCAGACACTTAACCAACTGAGCCACCCAGGAGTCCCCTAAAATCTTAACAATGCCTATTTCTGGGTGGTGGGACTGCAGTGTAAAAATTTTCTTGTTTTTAATTTATATATGTTCATAATATTCTATAATAAAAAGTTCTATATAAATAAGTAGATGTATTTTGAAAAAGTTGCTAGTAAAATTAATTTTTCTAATTCAAATGCTTTCTCACTATTATAAAATTACAAAATAGCTCATCTCCAGGTGGAACGTTAGAAGACTCCAAGAGTATTTCCTTCCTCATATTGCTGGTCCACAGCCAGATAATCCCTGTTTAACCTGATAGTGCAAAGAGCTCCATGTCTCTTTGATCAAGTCCCAAGGAGATAAGTTTTCATTTTCTCAAAGGCACAGAGTTGTAGCCAGTGGTAATTACCATCATGGAGACCAAGAGCCATAACGACCTTCAGGAGAGACTCACACCCTCCAGCAATGAGAGGACATCAGTGGATGGCAATAAGTTAATTGGAGCCGTTAAAGACGAAGACATCGAGCTGGTCCAACAATTGCTGGAAAGAGGGGCTGATGTCAACTTCCAGGACGAGTGGGGCTGGTCACCTTTGCATAACGCGGTACAAAGTTGCCGGGAGGACATGGTGGATCTTCTGCTTCGTTATGGTGCTGACCCTTGTGTGAAGAAGAAGAATGAGGCCACTCCCTTCATCATTGCTGGGATTGTGGGAAATGTGAAGCTGCTCAAACTTTTCCTTTCTAAAGGTGCGGATGTCAATGAGTGTGATGCCAATGGCTTCACAGCTTTCATGGAAGCCGCTGTGAATGGGAGGGATAAAGCCTTAAATTTCCTGTACGAGAATGGGGCAAACGTGAATTTGAGCCGAAAGACAAAGAAGGATCAAAAGAGGCTTAGGAAAGGAGGGGCCACAGCTCTAATGGATGCTGCTGAAAATGGACATGTAGATGTCTTGAAGATCCTCCTTGAGATGGGGGCAGATGTCAAAGCCCGTGACAATATGGGCAGAAATGCTTTGATCTATGCATTTAGGAGTTCTGATGATAGAAATGTGGAGGACATCACTCGCCTTCTGCTGCACCATGGGGCTGATGTCAATGTGAGGGGAGAGAAAGGAAAGACACCCCTGATCCTGGCAGTGGAAAAGAAGCACTTGGGTTTGGTGCAGATGCTTCTGGAACAAGAACATATAGAGATTAATGAGACAGACAGTGAGGGCAAAACAGCGCTTCTGTTGGCTGTCCAGCTCAAACTGAAGGAAATTGCTCAACTGTTATGCAACAAAGGAGCCATCACAGACTGTGGGGAACTTGTGATGATAGCGAGGCGCAACTATGACAGTTCCCTTGTAAAGCTTCTTCTCTCTCATGGGGCCAGAGAAGATTGTCCCCCTCCCGCTGAAGACTGGAAGCCTCAGAGCTCACGCTGGGGGAAGGCCTTGGAACACCTCCGCAGAATATACCGCCCTATGATTGGCAAACTCAAGATCTTTATTGATGAAGAATATAAGATTGCTGACACTTCTGAAGGGGGCATCTACCTTGGGTTCTATGAAGGGCAAGAAGTAGCTGTGAAACGATTCTATGAAGGCAGCACACATGGACATCAGGAAGTCTCCTGTCTGCAGAGCTCCCGAGCAAACAGTGACTTGGTGACATTCTACGGGAGTGAGAGCTACAAGGACTGTCTGTATGTGTGTCTTGCCCTCTGTGAGCAGACCCTGGAGGAACACTTGGCCAAGCACAGTGGGCAGGCTGTGGAAAACGAGGAAGACGAGTTTGCCCGAAACACCCTCTTATCTGTATTTAAGGCTGTTGAAGAGCTACATCTGCTGTGTGAATACACTCACCAGGATCTGTGCCCACAAAACATCTTAATAGGTGAGTCCCCAGTCTTCTCTTAGAAATTGCGAGGTCTTTATTTACAAAAAGAAAGGATTTTCATTACAAGGAGGAAAGGAGTAGAGTATGTGTGGATTATTCAGTTTGAGGATTAATGCAACAGATTCATAATGAGAGTGCTATTTCCCCTGCTACCAGGTATAACCCTTACCCCACGTGGAGGTGACAGATGCCAATGGAATACCAGGCTAACCTCATATTTCCTTTGGCAAATACAAATATGAAGGTTATGTCTTGGATGGAGTCAGCTCCAGAAATTTGAATTCCTAAAGTAGCCTGCCAGTCAGAGAATCCTGAAGGTGTGTTCCTTCAGCCAAGATGGTAGCCACTGTGAAATTTTTTTAAATGATTTTATTTATGTATTTGTCAGAGAGAGAGAGTAAGGGCACCCAAGCAGGGGAAGCGGCAGGCAGAGCAGGCAAAGGGAGAAGCAGGGTCCCCTCCGAGCAAGGAGCCTGATGCAGGACTCAATCCCAGGACCCTGGGATCATGACCTGAGCCGAAGGCAGAAGCTTAAGTGACTGAGCCACCCAGGCATCCCTCCACTGTGAAATTTAATGGCAAAACCAAGGTCAAAACTGGGCATGCCAGGATAAGATGCAACAAGTGAAACAGACTCCAAGTGGGCAGAACGAGTCAGCACCCACTGGCCTCAGCCAAAAACAAAATAAACAAAAGAAACATTAAAGGAAAGAAGCAGAGCTGAGTGTAAAGTCCCAAGAGGTGATGTGGTGCAGTAGGAAGAGTCTTGGCTTTAGCCATGTGTAGGGAGGCTTGCAGCCTAGTCATGCCACTTTGTAGCTTTGCAGCCTCAAACAAGTCACTTAATTCTGTGAGCCTTAGTTTCCTCATTTAAGATGACGAACACCTCTTTCATAAGGTTGTTATGAGGTCTAAGTGCAGTGTGTTAGACAAGTTACCTGTACGTTGTAGGTACTCAGCAAAGGCCAGACACTTGTCTAGAGGGCTAAGCAGAAACAGATACCTAATCTACAGACATGTACTGAGATTTAAGGTAGGTGTAAGGGAACAAGACAAAAAGAGGGTTCAGGTATTGAAAGGCAGAGAACAGTATTTAAGGTCCTGGACAAGACCTGGAAGGAAGTAGGTAGACATCAGAATACAACTGGAATCTGGCTTTTAATTTGAGGACAGGTGCTAGTGGCACTCCTTCCTGGTTTTAAGCAACTTTGTTGGGGAGACTGACAAAGGCCAGAAATATGTGCAGCTCTACAAAGTGAAGCAGAATCCTCAAGATGCAGCCAAGGGCAGGGTCCTTCCCAGTTCTAACTGCTGATTTGATGCAAAAGAGTCATATGTCACATTATAAAGAAAAATTACTTGTCACTAACTCTTCTCCAGAATTTCTGGCACCATCTCTTTTATTCTTAAGCTTGAACAGTAGAGAATTGAGAATTGACTATATTTCTGCCTCCAGGTGGTGAACCTAACACATACTACAGACTGTTCTTTGTATTAGATCCCTAAAATGATAGGGAAAGATTGTTAAATGAATCCCTAGCTGGGATCAAAATAACAAAAGAGGTTTTACAGGACAAAATCTTTGAGGAATCATAAAGAGACTGAACATGATAGGATGGGATTAAAGAAATACATGGGAGCCCAGGACAAACGCAGGATGCCACAGCTAAATATTACTCCTAAAAGTGGGAACAGTGCAAAGAAACACCACTCAGGAGTAATGGAAGCCAGAAGCAGGAGAGGACAAAAGATCAGCTAACAGGCAGATTGCTGCATCAGTAGAAAATAGGAAGATCATACCCTGTGCATTCCCCACAGACCAAGCATCTGTGCCAGGCCTGTCTGTCTGCAGACAGGGCTACTCTTTGAGACACTGGGTGGTTGATAATCTCAAGAGAAACAAAGAGCAGTTAAATCCACAAGATTTCTGCCAAAGCACCCTACTAAGTGGCACATCCTGCTTACCCCCTAGTTTCACTGAATAAAACGCAAAGCAGAAGTTCAGACAACTGCCTCCTTCTCTCCCCTGTGTTGGGTGGCATTAACAGAAGCAACTCAAAGGGATCAAGGATTCTCAACTGCAAAGTAAGGCTTACAGTCAAAAATCACTGAAGATATTTATGAAGTGCTGATACCATGAAAGAGATGCATGAAATAGAAGAACTTAGACCCAAAGAAACAAAGCTAACTGAGTGTGTTAGTTTCCTATGGCTGCTGGAACAAATTATCACAAACTTGGTGGCTTAAAACAGTAGAAATTTATTCTCCCATAGTTCTGGAGGCAAAAAGTATGAAATCAGTTCCACTGGCCCCAAATCATGTGTCAGCAAGGCCAAATTCCTTCTGTAGGCTGTGGGGGGAGACCCTTGCCTTTTCCCTGTTCTGGTGGGCAGCTAGTATTCCTTGGCTTGTGGCATCACCCCAATCTCTGCCTCTGTAGTCATTGCCTTCTCTTCTGTTGTCAGATCTCCCTTTGCCTGCCTTGCATAAGGATATGTGTGATTGCATTTAGGACTCACCCTGCTAACCCAGGATAATCTCTACTATTTCAAGATTCTCTCTCTCTCTTTTTAGAGAGGGAGAGAGAGTGTGAGCAGGGAGGGGCAGAGGGAGAAGAGAGAGAATCTTAAGTAGTCTCCACACTCACCATAGAACCTAACATGGGGCCCGGTCCCACTACCTTGAGATCATGACCTGAGCCTAAATCAAGAGTCGGACGCTTAACTGACTAAGCCACCCAGGTGCCCACTGTTTCAAGATTCTTAATCACATCTGCAAAGTCCTTTTGTGTGAGTGTGTAACTATATAAAGTAATATTTGCAGATTCCAGGGATTAGGACATGGGCATTTACTTAGTTTGCCATCCTGAGTAACCACAGTACTTTAAAGTAAGTATAATTAATAAAACCAGAGAACCAAGATAGGTTATTTCATCCAAGAAGCAACAATAAGCATTGTGAAAAGAACTGAATAGAGAATTTGGGAATTTAAAATATAATTGTTTAAAAATTTAAAACTCAAGACTGGATTGAAGATTAAATTAGCGAGCTAGAAGATGTGCCCGAGAAATTTTCCTAGGAAATAATAGAAAAGCATAAAGGGGTGGATAGGGAAAAAGGCTTAGAAGTCAGGATTTAGATCCGAAGTTCTAACAGGCATTTCAGAGGGAAGAAGTAATGAGGTTGAAGCAATATTTGAAAAAAAAAAAAAGTGAGAATGTCCCAGAAATAAATATAGATATAGTTCTCTTATTGAAAACTCACCAAGAGCTGAGGGTAAATAAGGAAAAAAACCCATTGAGTCGCAACTTAAAGGAATATCAAAACATCAAGGGAGAAAAAGAAAACCTCAAAAGCTCCCAAGAGAAAACAAATTACCTACATAGAAACCAGAATCAGGATTGGTAAGAGACTTCTTTCATCAGTAACCTGAATACAAAAAGAAGGAACTGAGGAGAAAGAACCTACTAACAGCTGAATCTTAGTATTCCCCCAGAATTCATATGTTGAAACCCTGCAGATATCTCTTCAAGATAGTGATTTCATTTCCTTCAGATACACTTCTGTTTTATCTATTTTTAATTTTTTGAGAAACCTTCATGCTGTTTTCCACTGTGGCTGCACCAATTTACATTCCCACCAAAAACACACAGGGTTCCCTTTTGTCCACATCTTCACCAACTCTTGTTATCTCCTGTTTTTTTGATAATTATTCTAACAGATGTGTGAGATGATATCACATTGTAGTTTTGATTTGCATTTCCCTGATAATTACTGATATTGAGCACTTTTTCATGTACCTGTTGGCTCTTTTAATGTCTTTGGAAAAATGTCTATTCAGGTCCTTTGCCCATTTTTTAATCAGAGCATTTGATTTTTGCTATTGAGTTGAATGAATTTCATATATATAAATATATATATATTTCATGTACATAAGTATGTATTTCATATATATAAATTTCACATATATGTAAACATATATATTTCATATGCATAGAAATTTCGTATATATAAATATATATTAATATGTATATTTACTCCATATCAGATACATGATTCGTAAATATTTTCTTCATTTCTATACATTGCATTTTCATTTTGTTGATGGTTTCTTTTGCTGTGCAGAAGCTTTTAGTCTGATGTAGTCTCACTTGTTTATTTTTGCTTTTGTTGCTCTGCTTTTGGTGTCATATCTAAAATATCATTGCTAAGACCAATATCAAGGTGCTTTTTCCCTATGTTTTCTTCTAGAAGTTTTATGGTTTCAGGTTTTACATTTAAGTCTTTAATCCATTTCAAATTAGCTTTTGTGAGTGGCATAAGATAGGGGTCTACTTTCATTCTTTTGCATGTAACTATCCAGTTTTTCCAACATCATTTTTTGAAGAGATTATCTTTTCCCCATTGAGCATTCTTGGCTCCCTTGTCAAATATTAGTTGACTGCATATGTGTGGGTTTATTTTTGGGCTCTTGATTCTGTTTCATTCATCTATGTGCCTGATTTTATACCAGTACTGTACTATTTTGATTATTAGGTCTTTGTAATATAATTTAAAACCAGGAAGTGTGATGCCTCCAGCTTTATTCTTTCTCAAAATTGCTTTGGATGGATTAGTGCCCTTATAAAAAGAGCTAGCTAGTTGTCTTTCTACCATATGAAGATACAGCAAAGAAGATGGCTGTCTATACACTAATATGAGGGCCCTTACCATGAACGCAATGCTGCTGACACCCTGAGCTCAGATTTCCAGTGTTCAGAGCTGTGCGAAATAAATAAATTTCTGTTGTTTAAGCCACACCCATCTACTGTAATCTGTTATAGCATCCAGAATTGACTAAGACAACCATCAAATTATACATGATTCAAAATAAATACATATTTTTGATTGAGTATTATTAACATACGGTGTTATATTAGTTTCAGGTATACAATATAATGATTCAGCAATTCTAGACATTACTCAGTGCTCATCATGAAAAGTGTACTTTAATCCCCTTTATTTCCCCCATCTCCCTACCCACCTCCCCTCTGGAAACCACCCGTTTGTTCTCTGTGTTTAAGAGTCTTTTTTTGTTTGCCCTTTTTTCTCCCTTTGTTTGTGAAATCATATGGTGTTTGGCTTTCTCTAACTGACTTACTTCACTTAGCATTATACTCTCTAGGACCATCCATATTGTCACAAATGGCAAGATCTCATTTTTTGATGGCTGAGTAATATTCCATTATATATGTGTATATATATGCCATATCTTTTTTACCCACTCATCTATTGATGGACACTTGAGATGCTTCCATATCTTGGTTATTGTAAATAATGCTGCAGCACATAAGTGTGCATATAACTTTTCAAATTAGTGGTTTTGTTTTCTTTGGGTAAATACTCAGTGGTGGAATTACTGGATATATGGTATTTCTATTTTCAACTTTTTGGGGAACCTCCATACTGTTTTCCACAGTGGCTGCACCAATTTACATTCCCACCAACAGTGTGCATAAGTGTTTCTTTCTCTTCACATTATTGCCAACACTTATTATTTATTGTCTTTTTGATTCTAGCCATTCTGACAAGGGTAAGGTGATATCTCTTCATGGTTTTGATTTGCATTTCCCTGAATGATGTTGAGAATCTTTTCTTGTGTCTGTTGGCCCTTTGTGTGTCTTCTTTGGAAAAAATGTCTATTCAGGACCTCTGCCCATTTTTAATCAAATTGTTTGTGTTTTTTGGTGTTGAGTTGCATATGTTCTTTATACATTTTGATACTAACCCATTATCGGATATATCATTTGCAGATATCTTCTCCCATTCAGTAGGCTCCCTTGTCGTTTTGCTGATAGTTTCCTTTGCTGTGCAGAAGCTTTTTATTTTGGTGTAGTCCCAGTGGTTTAGTTTTGCTTTTGTTTTCCTTCCCTGAGGAGACATATCTGGAAAAATGTTCCTATGGCCAATGTCAAAGAAATTACTGTCTGGTTTTTTTTCTAGGGGTTTAATGGTTTCAGGTCTCACATTTAGGTCTTTAATCCATTTTGAGTTTATTTTGTGTATGGTCCATTTTCATTCTTTTGCATGTAGCTGTCCAGTTTTTCTAAGCACCAGTTGTTGAAATACATTTTTTAAACATTTAAGGATCTAGGAAGATTTCCTACCCACAGACCATATATGAAAGAACTGCTAGAGGATATGCATAAGGAAGGAGAGAAAGAGCCTGATAGAAAACAGTGACTTATAAGCAGTAAAGAATAAACAAAAAAAATTAATTGTTTAAGTAACCTAAATATGTGTTATTTTTAATGAAAAATTATTTATTTATTTAATTAAAATTTTTAATTAAAAAATATCATCTTAGATGATATCGCTCTGGTGGGAGTGAGGATGAAGAGACTCTTGATTCACTGACAGCAGGGTGGAGTGTGCAAATTTTATCCTAACTGCCCATCAGCTGTTAGCAGTCTGTGATTCTATAAGTGCAGAAACTAAGTGTAAGAGTTTAAAATTTTTATAGCACTTTAACAATGTTGATTGAATCTAAAAATAAATAAAAAACCCTGGGGCTCGTTAAAAAAAAAAAAATCAAGTGTTAGAAGAGTTGTGAAGTGTTCCCTTAGGTGCTTGCAAATTTAAGTAGCAGAGAACTCAAAGTGGCTTAAACAGTGAAGGGGATTTATTAGTTGGGATAGCTGTAAGCAGTCCCTGGTTTCCAATCTGCACCCTCTGCCCCTTCAACCTCATTGCAGGCTACTTTCCAACTTCATCCCTTCTCTCCAGGCTGTCGGGCCTCCTTTCTGTCAGAGTGGAATTCCTCAGGTTCCTTTCCACCTTGGGAATTCCTATCTGGAATTCTCTCTTCCCTGTTCCATTCACCCACGTGAATTCTACTGATCTCTGTTCTCAGTGTCCTTCCTTAAAGGAAGACTTTTCTCTCCCACACAGCCATGTGGCTCTTGTTATACACTTTCAGAGCATCCTGCACTTTGGGCTAGCATTTTTAAAGTTGCCGTTAGGGGCACCTGGGTGGCTCAACCAGTTAAGCATCTGCCTTTGGCTCAGGTCATGATCCCAGGGTGCTGGGATCGAGCCTTGCATGGGGCTCTATGCTCTGCGCAGGGTCTGCTTGTCTCTCTCTGTCCCTCTCCCTACTTGCTCTCCTCTTTCTAAAATAAATAAATAAATCTTTAAAAAAAATGAAGTTGCAATTAATTTTACATTCACTCATTGCTCAGAGACTCAAAACTCCACAGGGCCTGTGCTGTGTTCTCCTCTTTCACTGTCATTTTTCCCCTCACTAGACCCTGTTTGAATAGTTTAATTGTTTCGTTTTTGTTGGACTGTGGGTTTCTGCTCAACTTTGATATCTAAGTTTAGAACCAAAGGGGTTTGAGAAGCACACAATTGTGCTGACCATCCTGCTGCCTGTAGTTACCCAGTTTGCTTTCTTAGACACCTTCAAGCCAGAAGCAGGAGCTACTTCTTCAAGGACAGGTCACTGACTTGCTCTCCTTTCATCTTGTTCCTGACCTCACCCATCCATGCATCCTTCTTCCTGAGGACTCAGTGGCTTCCTTCAAGAGAGAGCGATTCTGAGGAGGGCAAGGATGTAGTGGCTCATTCCAAGCACATGGTTAATCCATGATAACTGATTACAGTGTCATAGGGGGCTGTGCTTGGTGGGCTTGATTGAGTGGAGCACTGTGGTAAGCTGCTCTTGGATTTGGAGTCTCGTTGGTTAGTTGTTACTTAGCCTTAGGAAGTCAACGTATCTCCTGCCAACAGTCCCTTAATAAATCTGTGCTCATTGCCCCCAGGAATTGCCTGAATGGGGAACTGGTTAACTTTATCCTCATCCTTCCCCATGCCCAGGCATGGAGAAAATGAAATTTAAATCCTGCCATTGACTAATAAGTCAAATGACACTGTGCACATGGCTCTTTGAAGAGTAAATAGCCATGCAGATATAAGCTTTATTATTGCCTTCTTCAGAGATGATAGCGCATTTTGGTACATATTTATTTAAGTTAATTACAACATGAAGAGAGAGGATTTTCACTGTATCTCTACAAACTATCCCTTAGATTCCAAGAATGCTGTTTGCCTGGCAGATTTTAATGAAAGCATCAAGTGGACTGGAGAGCCGCAGGAAATCAAGAGAGATCTACAGGTAAATTCTACAATTGGTTTACTTTTCCATCTTTCTGCTTCCTTATTTGTTTCGTTCATTCCCTTATTTCCTATGGCCAATTAGACGTCATTTCTGTTTTACCTCTTCTAACTAACTTCCAAGGCATTCCCCCAGGGCTCACTGCCTTCACTCCCTTGCCGACAGTGGCATTTCTCTGGGCTGCTGTGGCCCCTTTCTGTATCTCTTTGGCTCTCTCTTCCTCCACCAGCTAGATAGGAAATGAATTGAGCATGCCATACCTCTTCTAAAATTACCTTCAGGAGGTATGTCCAAATGGCCTCCAAAATTCCTGCAGGAGGTATTTCCTGCCTGCAGACAAAGCAAATGGGATTTCTTTTCCCATTCCATTCAAACTTGTATGCTAAACTCCTAGGGGGGCCAGATACGAAGGCTCTCTGAAACCCATGGGAGGGATTGGATTGGTCCTCAGCTTGAAAGAAACTAATCTTGGCCACAGAGGTTAAGAGCCTGAAATAGCTGTTTCTCCTGGGAGGAGACAGCAGAAACAGAGCCTGACCCCTGTGGACCAAAGCTCCCAGGCTGACTCTCACCCTGTCCAGGCAGTTTCCTCCTGGGGGGGTTCTCCAGGGTGCAGAACGTTCAACCCCGGGGCAAGAGCTCTCCAGCCACATCTGGCCTTTGCTGCTAAAAGGATTTTAGCTCCTTCCGTGACTGGTGTCTTGCCTGCTGTAGGAAGTGCCTATGTTGGCCTCCTGCTTGACCTTTCTTCCCTGTCATGGCCTAACTCCTGGAGCTGTCACCGTGTCCCACTGGACCTGGACTGGCTCCTTGATCTGCCATCTCACATAGTCCCAATCCAAAGTCTCAGTTTCCAGCCAGAGTCCTGGCATTTCCCTTGTTGAAAACAGTTTTCCTCTCCCCTGTTTATTGACATTCGATCCATACTTTAAGGTCCAGCTCAAATTCCTCTTCCTCTAAGCAGTTTGCCCTGACAACTCTGGCCTAGGATTATCTTTTGCTCCTTATAAACCTAAATTGTGGGGACTGTATACTGTCTTGAAGGGTTCTCCATGCAGAACCTGTGGACTCCTCGAGATTTCTCCCACTTTCCATTTGGGCATAACCTGCACCACACCTCCATACAGAGCGAGAATTCACAGACACCTTTGGCTTGATTTGTGGCTTTCGTGCAGGCCCTTGGACAGCTAGTCCTATATGTGGTAAGGAAGGGAGAGCTCCCTTTTGAGACACTGAAGACTAAAAGTAATGAAGAGGTGATTCAACTTTCTCCAGATGAGGAAACTCGGGACCTCATTCATCAACTGTTTAACCCTGGAGACAATGTGCAGGGGCACCTGAGTGGCCTGCTGGGTCATCCCTTCTTTTGGAGTTGGCAGAAGTAAGTAAAAGTTGCTCTCATAAATAAATAAATAAAATCTTTAAAAAAAAAAAAAAGTTGATGGCATATTCCAGGCCTCCAGAAGCAAGACAATGAGTGTATTAGTCATGATATATATATATGTTCAAATGATATATAGCTAGATAGATAGATATAGATATAGATATCCAAATGATAAATATAAATTTAGATTTACTTATTAAAAAATATTTTATTTATTTATTTAGAGAATCTTAAGTATGCTGTGCTGAGCACAGAACCCGACGTGGGGCTCTATTTCAGGACCCTGAGATCATGACCTGAGCCGAAATCAAGAGTGAGGCACTTTAACCAACTGAGCCACTCAGGCGTCCCTATATATTTATTTTTTTAGAAGGAAATGGCTCATGCAGTATTAAGGCTGAGAATTCTCACGATCTGCCTCTGCAAGCTGGAGACGCAGGAAAGCCCATAGTGTAATTTAGTCCAAATCCAAAGGCTTGAGAACCAGGGCACTGATGATGTGGGTTCCAGTAAGGGTCTGAAGGCCTGAGAACTGGGAGGGCTGAGGGCAAGAGAAGATTGATGGCCCAGCTGAAAAAAATCAGACAAGAAGGGATGAGTTCCATCTTTTATTCTATTTCTTTTTTTAATATTTATGTCAATAAAATTTATTTTTTTACCTTTCTTTTTTTAAATTTT